ATCCCAAGTATTTATTTGCTAGTATAATTATATATTATAAAAATTTACCAGAGACAGTCACATAGTGGCTATGCTTTAGTGTATCACCAAGTAAAGATAACAATGATAGCTTATTCTTGGGTAATATTTGAATATATCACTTACATATTAGTAAAGTAAGCACATCCAAAAAATTATTAATTTTATATTATTGTATACTAATATATTATAAAGTATGAACAAATAAATTTATTTATGCAGTTATTTGAATTTCACACTATTTATATTTAATATAGTATGATGATACAGAGTATTAAATCTCTGATTCACCAGTTTCATATCTACTTTCTATGCATTTCTTATCATCATGGTCTAACTTGCATAAAGGGCATGATGCTTTATCAGTAATTCTATAATAATCAATATTTTTATTATTAAAAACATAAAATATATCAGGATATTGCTTCAATGTTTTGTTGCAGAAATTAACATGAGTGTGGACTAGATTATTTTGTTTTTCAGATAAGGTTTTCTTGAATTCTGGTAAATTCTTCTTGGGTTTAGAAATAGGTAGTATTTTTAAATCAGAAGAATTAGAGATTAGTGATTTAGTTAGATCACTTACCTTAATTTTTAGAGATATATGTTCTGATCATGACAAATTTATCACAGTTTTTAAGTTTATATGATCTATAATATTTTGAATTTGTGCATTAGTTAATTCAGAAATAGTACTTGCACTATATGTAACCTGTTTAATTTGTATACATGAATTCTGTGTCAGGTTTTGTCAATCATTGTGGCGCAGATACCTGATCTGCAAATCAGATTTCAAGATCATGGTGTAATGTAACATGATTAGCAACTTCCAAAACAACATTTGTTTTGTCAAAAATCGCTTATTTCTCAAAAATTTGTATAAAAAACCACCTTTAGTGCTCTAACAAAAAGTTTTCCTTAAGCGATTCTACTATAAAAACCTAACCTCAAACCTTAGTTTAAACACTAACCCTAACTACAATA